ACAAAAAAAAAAAAAAAAAAGAGAGAGAGAAATGTTGAGAATACATCCCAGCAAAATATCAACAAAAAAGAAACAACACTGTGGGCAGCCCATGAAAGCATAAGATCTGGGAACAAATTCAGAGTCAAAATGTAGTGCATAGCAAATAGCTGGTTCTTCTATCAGTATGGTTCTCTGCTGCCATGTACAACAATCACTACTGTTTATTCCAATTTGAACAGGGAAGTGATTAGCTTCAATTTCAATATAATTTCATTGCTGATTTCCTGCCATTCCTTAGTTTGATTTCAACTTGGTGTTGGTTGCATGCTTTAAACTTTGAGCCATGAAGTGTGCATATGCTGGGGAAAGCACCTATAAATAAATACATAAAGCAAAATAGATAAATCAAAGAAATAAATTTAACATAACACACTGGAATTCAAGTGGGAATCAAAAATTAACAATATGAACAAATATCAAATAACACATTTAACACAAAATCATATAAGAATTGAATAAGACTAGAGCAAATTAGTGTCACAAATAGCACAAAAATCACATGCAAAATTGACATGACAAGGGGAAAACTGTATATGTCAATGGGAAAAACACCTTACACTTTCTAAGCACAAATATGTACATTTAAATGACAACATTTTACAAATTGACAACAGCAAGATTAACAAACCCCTATCCCTTAACAGTAAAGTGACACTTTTACTTAGATTTATGTTTGATTTTCCTTTTCTTCCTAGAAAATCTGTTTACCTGTTCCCATATTCCTTCTGCTGCAGAATCTATGTGTTGTCCTATGTCACGATAGTTACCACTGTACCTGACGTAGGCCCAAAATGTGACCACAAGTATAATCAAATATACAATACCAGTAAACAGATTAGCTATGGTGTCCATGTACAAAAAGCCAAAAAGTCCAGACAAGAAGTAGGCCGCAACAAGCACCACCCCAAAGGTGGCAGGGGTGCGTGCATGCTTGAAAATATTCTTGGACTCATTAGCTTTGACAAAGTTCTCATAGGCCTCAAGGATTTCTTCCTCCAGTTTCTCCTGATAGGCACTGCTGAATGAATCTCCTCCCATTTTCTTAGCACTGCAGAAGAGTTCCACTGCTTGCTGTTTGATACTGTCATGATCTCTGTCTAACTGTTCCGAGCTGAGATATGGTCTATCTCCACCACAAATCTAGTCAAATATTATAATCAATTATATTTTTTTTTTTCCAAGTAAAAAAATTCTTCACCAATAGCACATAATTTAGAAATAATATTTGGAGGGTATGGATACAAATTATTGGTTCTAGCTACTACTAAAATGCCAAGCTCAGTGATTATAAAACTTGTATCTTAAAGGTTGCTTAGGAAGAAACAAAAAAATATCCTTATACTTTAAAATCTATATTCACGGTCAAACTACCATAAATCAAACAAATATCAACGTGACACAGATAAAAAAAAAAAGAAAAACACATACCTTTTCCATTTCCTTTACATATAATGCTTTTGCATTTGCAACAGCAGCTAAATTATTTGCTTCCGCAGTAGCCTAAAAAACAATTTTGGCTGATAACATGCATTGTAAAATCTCAATAAAAATAAATAAATAAATAAATATACATGACAATAGTACAAGTATATATATATATATATATATATATATATATATATATATATCAGAGTCATAAAATTACAAAGCTTTGATCCTTTTTTCATAACTTAACCATAATAAATATTCTACTCATTATGGATGTTAATGGCTTGTGTACCTGTTCAGGTCATGTCAGTAAAATTAACATTGATTTACTTCGAAACATCTATCCATTATTCACACTGCTGACCTTTATGGCAATGCCCCATGTTTTATGAGGTTTCAGCATAAAAGTTATACCGTGCACCTGTTTAACACTGCCCTATCAGCCACACATACCACGCAATTTTCATCATAAATTTCAATTTACCTGCAGCATAGACTTGGGTTCTGGGAGTTCGTCTCCTTTGAATACAATGATATATGCTTTGAAGTACTCTACCAGTTCTCTAGATGTGACTTTAGCCCCATTTATTTCTTTTGTGATCAAATTTCCTGGAGCAAGGATTAATGGCACTAACATTTTAAGCTGTTTTTTGAATTCCTCTTCAATATCTGAAAAAGGAAATGCCAAGTTTCAGAAATATATTTCATGTCATGTGTAATACCCTTACTGTTTTTATCTATATAGAAAGGTATTCCCTCAGTTTATTTCTAAAGCCTTCATATTGCTCCAAACGAGTTTGAATATATCATGCATTGGCAATTAAACACAAACTGAGGACCAAAAAAAATCATATCAGCTAACAATTACAGAATCTTTAATGATCAAATAAAAAACATGGACTTCAAACTTGCATGTGTACTAAATACTTTTTGTTAAGATAAATAAATTGATAAATTATGATTCTTTTATGTTACTTTTATCACTAATCAGGCTTTAAATTCTGATCATGCCTAACCATATTTTAGTTATACCAAATAACCATCTACCTTGAACTGAAAAGTGGATTACAAATATCATAATACAAGTTAGTCAATGTAAAATGTGAAATTCCTTACCTGCCAATCTGCCGTCAAAATGAGGGTTGGTGGCAACTTTTAGTCCTGGGTGCGGCAGCAAGAAACAGCCAATCTTTTCAAAACAGGACCTGATATGCTTGCGAAGAGACTGTAATTCTTCGTGTTGTCTAGCTTTCAACTAGAAATACAAACAGACAAAACAATAATATTAATATTAATGATAACAATAAAATATAAAATGACAACAGTAATAATAATTATATTTGTAGTGTGAATTTGAGGTCTGGTAAAACACAATATTGACTGAAGACATCATCACCGAACATAATACTGACGAAAGACATCTTAGCCTATTTTTTTCCAATCAGAAAAAAAAAAAAAAAAAAAAAAAAAAAAAAAAAAAACATATCAGTCATATGCCAATAATGTTTGGTGACAGGAATGTTGCAACATCTGATAACATCTTGGAAGACACTGACCTTTGACTGCAATCAGGTATTATATGATAAAACAAAACTACTATAGACCCTGTCAATGTAATTATATGTAATTTGTGGTCTGCAAAACTAAATATCAACCTCAGTCAAAGTCTACAACTGCACAGTAGAAAAGAATGCCTTTTTAGAAATCTTTTGAAGTATACCATGAATTTCTCTTCATCCTTTTTTGAACTTGAACATAATATATCTGCATCCAAAACCCTCATCTTTTATGTATCATGTGAATAAAATTGAGTTATGTTTGCATGGTGAGTAAGTCCATTATTCCCCTGATGTTAATTCAGTATAAACATATATAGTGAACAACAAAATAGCCTCACTGTTTAAAAATTTTTAAGTGGTTCTACAGCCAAACGTGTTTGGCTCTCTTACCTCTAAACGTTTTTCTAGCAATCCATTTCCACCCTTTTCTCCAAAATCATGTTCATATGGGAAACTCCAATCTCTGACTAAAAACTCTAAAGACTGAAATGTTAAATATAACAAAACATTTATGTTGCTACTGCATTACATTAATTTTGATATTTTTTATCATTTTGAGATAATAAGACTAGAAATTACTGAATTTTTATACATCCCATTTGTGAAATGTCACTGATGTATTCATCAGAAACCAAGATTAATTAATAAACAAATATTGATCAGTAGGAAAACTTTATGATATGAACATTCAACTGTACCATCTCCAACAGTACACAATATATAAATTGAATTATAGAAAAGTCACCTGAAATGGCTTTGCTGATGTATCTGCTAATGCTAGTCTTCCATATTCTGTAAAAAGCTGGAGGAGAAAAGTATGACAATTAACAATTTTGGCTTGACATGAAGCACGCAAATGTAAAGCTGAAAACAATTTTGAAAAACAATTAACTGGCATTCAACTTTGTTTCAAATATTGCACTTGAGTGCATTTTGATTGAATCAAGCGAAAATGTTCAGTTGCAAGACAAAATTATGAATACAGACATTAACTAGCTTTACTGTTTTACAACTGACTAAACTCACCTGCAGATGTTGCAAATCATCTTCTTGTATGTTTGAAGATATGTTAAATACCTGACAAAAATTGAAGGGATAGTCAATTCTATTTTGATGTGTACAGAAAACAAACATGTAGTAGACATGTGGTAAGTATAGCAGAAAGAGGTTATTAAAAGGCTGCACTTTTTGAGTTGATCAATTGCATTCTCTTCACAACAATAATTTGAAAACAGGGTATCTGATAAAAAGTTTAAATTTTTTAAAACTTATCTTAACCAATTTAACCTTTTGTTTTTCATTTTAAACCAGTATAATACAGTTCACTGACATGGAATAATAGATATGTATAGTGTAGCTTTCCAACCTCAACAATTTGAGATTGCCAATATTATAGCTCTCAGAATAGAGAAGTCACGTTCATCATGTTGCCAATAGTGTTATTGAGCACTGTTACAATATATCATTAACAACAGAACACCTGAAACCAGTAAAAGTGCATAGGGTCAATAAACTATGTCAGTCTTGTCAGTTATTTTACCTGAACAGAACTGAGCATAGTACTCAGTGCAAATACTGTAGCACAGTCTTTCACTGTGGACTGACTATCAAATGCTCCTTGAGTGTCCATCAGAAGTACAGCCACCTGCAACAGAGGGTCAGATACACTGTATTTCCACGATGGCAGAATGTCACAATTATTACTTAATGATGTACCATTTACTAATTTATAAACAGTGCTATTAATTACTACAACATTTCTGTAATTTATCACCATGCATTAACAACTGGTCATAAAAATTAAAGTCAAACACATTAACTGACAACAATTCTCATAAATTTTTGCAGAATTGAAACGGACAAAAAACAAATGGCTTCATGAATATATATCACTTTAAGTTCAAACGTATTAAAAACAGCTACTCAGTGTTTACACGTTTTAAAAAATACAACATATCTATATTTTTTATGATCATATCAATATAATGTTAACAGAAAGGTGTACCTTTTGTCCATTTGGGAGCCTTGACACAAAAGCTTCACTCCACAAAAGAATCCCAGTGGTATCCCTTTCTGAGCCTCCTCTCCAACTGAAACCTTCCAATGGAGAGTTGTCATCTCCCAGCCATTCATCACTTGCCTGAAATAATAACAAATTAAGTTTAACCATTATTGCTGTAAATACTTGTTAATAATCATAACTATAAGCATCACTTTTTCTTCTATTTATATAAATTTATGTAAACAAAGTGCCCCTGTTGATAGTAATGAAACCATTAAGGCAAATAAATTACTGTTCTTTTTGTTTGTTTTTTATGCATTTACTGCATCAGATAGTTCTCTTAAATAGACTTGGATTTTAACTCAATTCTATGACAAAGCTCTGGGCAACATTTTACATATCCTTTTTCTGAATTATGAATAAATTAAATCTACAACAAAAGTGAAAAACACCAGTGTTCTTGCTCTAAGTCTGTCCACCTACCTGTGCATCAGGTGTTGCATTTAGATATCTCAGAAAGAAGTCCAAAAGAAAAGACTTTCCTTTCCTGAAAGCTCCAGCCACTGAGACCACCACAACCTGTTTATCCTTAATCTTGTTCTGCAGCAGCACCTTCTCTAGTGCTTCTAAATCTAGATTAAAGGCATGGTCTTCGTCAAATGTGACAACTTGAATTGGGTAACCCTTCAATCTGACACCTTCAGCAGACACTGAAAGAAAAGAAACAGAACAAGTTGAAAACCATGGCAACAAGAAAAGTCCATGACAGCAAACGACCTCAATCACTAATTTGTCAAGGATAAACTTTGATGATGGTCTATATTCCTAAAAATGGCCTCACCCAGGAAAGTAAGGAAAAGCATAAGGATTTTTCCATTTTCCCAGATTGTTTACAGTATTATGGTAAGTGTCAGGAAAGGAGGATCAAAGGTTGGTTAAAAGGCGATAAATACCATCTACCCTAGGTAATTCCATTCAGTATGTTTTTTTTTTCCTAGGAAATATTTACACTGGATAACTAAATTTTGACTATTTTTTTTTTTTTTTTGGGGGGGGATATCTCATTCCCTTGTTATGACAAAGACAGTTTATACTCTAAATATATGCATTCATTTATTTTCAGAACTGATGGAAGGAGTGGAGGAAACATCTTAGGTAAATTATCTAACTACATATGGAATTTGTCGACAGTCACTACAAAAATCTTGCATCAGGCAAGTAAAGCCAATAGGTGTGTCAAGCCCCGATTTAATTAAATAAAATTAAGATCTAACCTGCAAATAAACGTACTGGGTAATGATTTTGCACCAATGTGGTATTTCATGGAAGCTTGTTATTCCCATCTCACCTTTCTTTTTTTATTTAATTTCCTGCTTTTCACTTTTAAAATTTTATTTATCCATTTTGTCCCCCAAACGCTGCTTGGTGATGACAGTGCTACTGTGAGTGTGATTATTGCATTTTCAGTTTCAACTTTTAAGCCTTTAATATCACCACCACTTATTCTGTAAAATCTACTTGGGTAGATAAATGTTGTATTACCAAGGCTCTCTGTAACCAATTTGCAACAGCAGTGCACAACCAAGGCATTGCTACTGTCGCTCACATATTGTAGTTGTTGTAAATTGTAGGGGTGGCATTGCAAACTAAGTTGAGCATTTGTGGCTACCTGTCCCAAGTATTAAATGTACAATATGACATGCTTTAACATTTGTATTAAAATGAGCTACCACAAACGTCAAATGATTTCTTAATCCAATCTAACCCTGAAGATATTCAATACCTGGAGCTGACGTGTTCAGTGTCGTTTCAACCACTTTCCGAAGTTCTGTTGGCTTTGAAGCCATATTGGAATAGACGTGACGTCACCTTCCCAGAATCCAAACGGATGATGTCACGAACTATTTTTCGGCTCGTTCGCAACCGGAAGCATCGATTCCTGTGTCATTATATATTCCACATTAATATTTTCCAGTTAACACTGCCCGTCAAATTGCAAAAAATTAAATATGGAAAGATTCAAAGAGTAAATGATTTTATCTTGACAAGGTTAACTGTTCAAAAAAACACATTGTTTATGTCGAACTTGATTTAAAAGCGGATGGTTAATAATGAGTCCACAGGCTTGTAGTATTTTACGTAGAGCAAGTTTACACAGTAATTTTGAGTTTACATCAACTTTGAAGCTTGCAAGCTACACCGAAGACCGAGTAGTTTTTAACACAGGTAAGCATATGCAAAATGTCAATGCATGAAGATCGTCGTGATCAAAGACTTACTGTAGTTGCACTTTTGCAAGAGAGAGATCGAAACGCCGAAATCGTGGACCCTGCAAGCACTCGCTTGCACCGAAGTGGATGTAGGTCACATTTACCCGAGTCAGCTGGGTTTCATTTTGCTGGTTTTACCGCTCTTTGGCAACTTCCGATATAAAAGCAGTTCATATTGATAATGACTATTAATGTGTGGCTCAAGGACACTCCACCTGATAAACCCAAAACTAAGTGCTTCCTTTTCCTTGCCATTGCATTGCCTTGTCCAGAAATGATTGCTTGTTGATTTGTTATCCTCAGCGCACGCCTAGTTATATCTAGTTATGTGTAAATATTTCACGTCTTATTGTTTCATTTACTCTTAATTATATTACTCAGAGAGTTAAGGCAAATCCATTCTTCTTATTTTCAATATGAATAAAGGTTGAAGGTATCTTAAGGCATCTCCATGTTGTTCTGCAGATTGCCTCAATTTAAGCCTCAGGTGTACTACAGATATGTTGTTTATATACACATACATATACAGAAAAACATTAAAGCTATATTTTGACTTAATTAAATGATTTTATTTTTATTTTTTCAAAAAGTACATATATACCTTAAAGCTACATATGAAGTCAAATCTTTGCCACCCAACCTGACCAAATGCCATCTTATTGTTTCAAATAGCATAACTTAAGACTGCTTTCTCTCTGTGCTTTATATAATCCCCAGTTGTTTCCGGCAAGGCTTATTTGAATATTATGCTGTTGCGCGAGTAGCAGTAATGCGTCAGATACAATTACATCATTTGGTAGACTCTTAACAAACTTGAATGGCAGATTGTAGGCCAAGTTTACAATCAAACATTTGGAAATCATTTTACAGCTATTTTTTGGCTGATCGAGTGATTAAACTTGTGGACCTAATTTGAAAATAGTAGATAAGGCTAAATATGCCTCATAGAGAAACTACAATCACTTCACGTTTAACTTAAAACTGATTTGCTTTTCACTTAATGATTATCATGCAAAAACTAATTCCATAGTGTCTTTATAGTTAAATACATTGTTCAAATAGATTTTTCATTATAAACAACAGTTAGTCATTTTACATAGTTGTCACAGATATAAGCTGTTGTTCTTGCAGTCACCAAAGACATATTTTGTGTAAAAGATGGTGATTTATATTATAATAAAGTTATATGTATTTTTTGTTGTTTCCGTCTCTTAATCCTGCTTGTCAAAATCTTTGTTATGTTGCAGATGGATGAGGTGTGTGTATGTGTGGGTGTTTTCCAAGTAAAAACAAAGAATATTGAAGTATGTAATCCTCATGTCAAAATGTCTTGGATTCTAATAATTGTAATAGGTCTAATTGCATATATAGGCAATATTGATGTTGTAGGTATATTATAAAACCATAGCATATGATTTATGAAAAAGGAGTATCATTTTCAAATAGCTACGTCAGCCACCATGCTATAAAATCTATCAATACAGTATGAACCTTAAAGACATGGAACCAGACCAGGTAAAATGGCATCAAATACAAAACATTATATTATGTAAGAGAAATAAACAATTGAGTATGGGAATCAGATTTTCAAACAACTATTCTAGGCCTTTTTTTCAAGGAAAAACGGTGTTCGTACAACCTTTTGATAAGTCAACATTTGGTTTCCGTCCTTTCCTGACCAGAGAATTCCCTCTGTAACATCTTGGAAAAAAGCACTCAGCACATAGTGCAATGGGCAGGAATGTGGAGAAATTACTCTAGCTGTGAAGAGAATGGGCAATCAAATGTGTTCTTCCCTAAGTTTTTTTTATTTTTTTAGTTTTTTTTATGAAACTGCTATGAACATGGCTTTATTTTGTGTAGTCAAATTGCCAGATAAAAAGCTCTCTACGCGAATAAAAATAACACAAGCATATAGTCTGTATTTCACCTGTTCAAGTGTTGAGTTGACTACAAGAAGCTGCAATGTACTGAAAACATCAATAAATTGCCAAAGCATCCACGCCATTTTTATTGTCCACCAGAAACCACATCCATGAAATATCATTTTTCAAATTTGTATGATTTTACTGGATTAACTTTAGTAAGAACAGAATGGCCAGAAATATTCAAAATTGAGGCAACTTTTTTGATAATAGTTGTGATTTTACAGGGAAAGATAATTTAAAAAGAGAATATTGATCGTAAGGTGTAAAAAATCCAATTTTATCAACCTTACCACGTTTATAGCACTAAAGGTATTTTTAGTAATCAAGTATTCTTGGAATCTCAATTCAAAATTGTGCGATCAGCATTCAGAGAACAATCCACTTCAACAATGCTGGTTAGAACCCATTGCTGACTTTTGCTGGGGAAGGGCAATTTTCTGTTTTCCTGTTTTCATAGGTAGTGCTGTGATTAGATTTCATTACATGCTGTGGCATATTGTAGTTTTTAATGTCCTACCTAGCTTTTCTAATTTCTGAAAAAAATATTATTGATATTATATGTATGGGTGTGTGTGAAAATGTGTGATTGTCAATTTATTCTCTTAATGAGCAGTTATCAAAACAATTCTAATTCATCAGATACGCTGGAGTTGAGTAAAAGAAGTTTTTGGTATTTTGACCTCATGTTATGTTGAACAGAGGATACTACCAGGGGCAGATTTAGGGCGTCTTCTGGGTCTTCCGGAAGACGGTCAGATTTTCCAGTTTACATTGACGGGTATCCAATTTTTTCTGTCGGAAGACAGTCAAAAATGAAGAACGGATCAACAAAGATAATTTGGAAGACTGTCAGAAAATATCTCTGAATCCGCCCCTGACTACAGAGGGAATTTTGTGTTTCATAATTTGAAATTCATTTGTGGTAAAAATAGAAACGTATAAGGTGATAATTGTACCTTTCCTACTTCACATCTGGACCTTAATTACCACTTATCAGCAACAATTCTTGTATATTTATATAGCATACTTCCAGAGTAAAATGTGAATGTACAATGATGTGGATTAATTTCAATAAAGCACAGGATTTTTGTTCTCTCTTTGATATTCTGCAGTTTAGCAGATCATAACATTGATCCTTATCTTTTAGATCTTGGCGATTTCAGGAGAGAGGAGCCATTCATTTTTACCTGGTGTTTTTTGATGAGCACCTGATTGATTTTAGCTTTGTTGCTTTCTTTGAATAAGCTGACCTTATTCTGTCGACAGCAGTTGTAAGAGATATCAATTCTGAAGGATAAAAGTCGGTAGTGATATGGTCTAACAGGTCCTCATGGGTATTTTTGCAGAGGTGGTTTACTATAATATTTATGACTTGACATTCATGACAGAGATGTTCACAAGGATTAAACATGTTTTACCTGTTGTTGCAATATCAGCGTTCACCTTATTACAACACTGATCATGTAAAACTGACAAGGTCAAAATTATTTTGTCTCATTATCTTTATGAAATGATATATCTAATTATATATGTCATATTATGGATTATTTGATTACTGTTTCTCAGGGTTCATTGTCAAGTTCTATTTTGTGTTTAATAGGAAAGGATAGGGTTATATATAGTTACAAACTAGAGAATTTGTGAGGTTTTAATATTTCCTTACTAGTAAGAAAAAAATCATTAGAGTTTTTTTTTTTTTCATTTTAGTATCATGAAATATTTCATTGTACATTTGTGAAAGGAACATTTCTAAAAAATTGTCATAGTAAAATGTTTATAATGTTTTAATTTTTATTAATTTTTTCTTTTCTTTATTTTATCAATCATGATCTATATTCAAAGACATTGTAGATAGGATATATGTCAATAGAAAAGGGGCTTTAAAATGAGAAAAGACAAAATTCCAATGTACTCCTATAATCACAAGCTTTTTTCTTCACTACTCAATGCCAGGAGGCATGTTAGTCTCTAAATCTGATTGCATTCAGCAAGAGTCCCTCTGGAATTGGTGCACATTAGCTAGGTAAAAAAAAATCATAGTGAACAGTCCCTATTATTAATACAATGTCTGCTTAGCCTGGACTTCAGATGCTTGTGGACAGTCATGAGAACGGTCAGAAAACTAAAGCCTGCTCAGACGGTCCTGTGTGACTTTGGCTAGTTCTGATACATGCTCTTTACTCAGGCCATGTCAGGCCTACCCAACTACCAGACTTGGCACCGATTGATCCTGAATTCGACGATAGATCGTACCACAATACCAGTTTTCAACGTGTGTATCAGTACGCGCTTCTAAGTATCAGACTCGACGCCACTCTTGCCTAGTACACAATGTGATAGTGATGATTCTCAGTGGGGTTGGAAAGTAGTGCATCTCATCTCAAAATTTGTTCTGGGGTAAGATACTGTGAAATGCGTACTGACGCACACCTTGAAAATGGTGTGGTCCAATCTACTGGTAAATTTGGGATCATTCGGTGCCAAGTCTGGTAGTTGGGTAGGCCTGCATGTGCTCACCACTTCAACAATACCATTTTCTTGGTAGCCATGTATTGTGACATCTATTTTTGTAATATACTAGTTGCTATCAGTGCCCTATTTTTGTAGATTTATATAGACCTTTCCAGATATGACAACATAATCATAAAGTCACGTGGCATATGATGCAAGGGATGCTTTGGTTACTGCTTAATCTGCCTAGAGTAAAAGTGAAAATTTTCACTTTGCTAAGTAAATGATAGCTAGTTTATATGTTTTATGAGTGTCGGGTGATTTCATAAGGTCACATTAACATCTACTATATTAAGAAGGAAAAGCTTTTGGAATCAGATTTTTTTTGGGGTGGGGTGGGGTAGCGGAGTTCCAGGCAGTGCAACTAGTGATCACAGTATATTGATTTCGTTTACAAGTTTATCTTCATTCAACATTAATATATTTGCATGTGTACTTATACGGTGTTACAGGCAGTTGATGTAAGATTAAAATCCTTACATGTGTCATAGGCCTTCTGCTAGGTATTGTGAATTTGCACGAAGGTGCCAAAATAAGGTAATATACAACAGAGCAGGTATTTAAATTATATGTATATATTGATTTTTGAAGGCAAAAAAGTCTTGATTTGTATGTCAAACATCGTAACTATAGGTTAATGTGACTGTGTTTGACACTAGAAAGTTCTGGGGTAGATTTCACATGCTTAAAAAATTTAGCTTTAGAAACAGGACCCTGGTCCGCAGTTGACTTGAAAGTGACAGTAATGTAGTTAGACCAAGGCTCTCCCCAGAGAGCTGTCCAGCCGTCATTTGGTCCACCATGAGCCTCAAAAGAAGGCCTATATTTCCAAAGATGCCTGGATGGTTTACATGATTTTTGGGTTGGTTGGCAGGGCTTGCTTGGGTTGGACTCCTTGTAAATCGATACAGATTCACATTTTGAACCCCCTGTACCCCAAATCCTGGGCAAACCCCAGAGACACCCCTGGTTTCTTTTCAACAGATATCTTATTTGTACATCATGTTAATATCTAACCAAAATGTTGAATAAAGTAAACACAAAAATGTGAATGCCAACCATTAGGTACATTAAGTTAATTATTGTGGTTTGTTTTGTTGGAGACGGATCTTATGCCTGACAAATCTCACTTACTAGTTCTACTTAGACGATAGGCAAAAATTGAAATATGCCATAATGGTAAAGGTCAGATTTCATTTAGCTTAGATATATTAGTAAAGATGTTTGAAGTTGAAGAAGCTGGCAGATATTTGATCTGAAGTTTATGTTATGTTTGCAGAAGCTTTCGTTTCAGTTTTTTTCCTTCTGTTCAGTTACTAATGATGGTGCCCATATTTCAGAAGATTAACAGTTCCCATTTGTCCCATTGATAATTATTTCCATACTCAATGATACATTTGAACAACAAAAAAGGAATATATTCACAACCAGATTCAGCTCAATGATACTTAAACATTTCACAGTAACCTGTAGTCCATATACACATAACTTTTATAAAAAGTGATGACACATTCATAACATTAGCATCAAAGTTTTGACAACTTTAATTGCATCCTCTGTTGTTAACACTAACTGATAATATTTCCAGTGCAATAGCCCATTAGATATCGTATCAACTCTAGGTAATCTGTTCATTATGTTCGTTGTTTCACATTAGATAAATACCTGTAAAATCGTTATTCGTACTGTTTTTTTTTTCATAGACTTGACTTTCCTGTTGGGTATCAGCAGGGAAGTTTATTTAACTACATCTGTAGGAGACTGATTATGGGAAATGATGGACTGTCTGGCTGGAAGTTGGTGCTTAAATTTGGTGTTTGACAGTGGGTCAATGGGCTATGTGTTAAAGGAGACCTGTGAATAGCACATTATTGCCCACAGGAATAATAATTTTTTAATGGCCCAGCCAACCTCAGTGTTTTCCTGTTTGGTTGAATGTAACTTATGCACTTTATGGTTATTTAATGACAACTTATTGTAGGAGAAAACCTCACCTGTTAATTGCTTTGAAATGGGATAGAATAGAGTTCTTGATATGTGTTTAGACTTTTGCTTTCATTGTTGGAGGCTTGCCTAATGGGCAACTAGTGATTTTTGGTGTTTTGGGTTAGAGCAATAAAAGATGCCCACGTGGGATTTCAACAGATTTGTTTTATTGTATTGAAAGTGATCTTACAGGGTCTGTTAGTGGCACTTAGACTTAGGAAAAAGCAAATGAAGATTTTCCAAGCATTAGGAGCATTTCTAATACTACAGTAACAGACTGTTGCTATATCGAGTTTCATCCCCACCCTTTAAAACACAGGCATACATTTTACTTTTCTACACTTGGATTGGTATCACATGATAAAATTAAAAACAAAAGCAATAAAAATTCAACAATGAGTCACTTTAATTATGTTTTTTAGAAGCCAAATATTGATATTATATTTGCTCCTGTCCCCTAGATAGTTGCTGCAAGTCTCTGTCATGAAATGTTGTGATTTTCCCCTTTTTAAGGATCCTATTTTTTCTCAGTGATGTAATGTAGGGTTCTGTGTTGTTCAATAGGTCATTTGATATCAAGACACATGGCTTATTGCAGACCTATTGTATATTTTTACCAGACCTTAAAGCCACATTTAAAATACACTGAAAAATGCCTTTAGGAAAAGTGGAATTTTTTCACCTCAGTTAATTTTAGAAGAAAATTTGCTATAAATTTTTAATAAGATGACAAAGACTAAAAAACTTCAATTATATTGTTAATGTTTTGATGATTATTATTACAGCTCATCAATTAACAGATTTATTTTGTTTTTACAGAACCTATTGAAATGGCAATCAAAATAGAGTGAGCCTCTAAGAATGTCAGCCAACTACCAATCCCCAGGGCATATGACCAACTCCCCTAGGGACCACATGAACATGGCTGGATATCAACACTCCCCCGTGGGGACCCATTCTCCGCTGACCCCAAATTATCAGTCTCCAGGCCCAGTTCCCAACTCCCCCCTCACGCCCAGCTACCAGTCCCAGCAACAACAGAGTCACAGTGTGCCTAACTCCCCGCGAGATCCCATGGATAATAATAATCACATGTCCAAGGCGACTGCAGGCGGGGGATATCATGGGATTCTAATGCCTCCGCCCCTGGGGAGGCGGAGAATGCACAGCAATCAAGGCTACATAGGGAACAACAATGTGAATAATGTGAATGCCAGGAACTACCACCACCAGGCCTCGCCATCACCAGTGTATACTCACAGTGGTTCCCCACATCCGCAGTCTCAGAATGTGTTCCAGTACCCAGATCCACCGTACAACATGCGTGGAAATAACTTTCAGAACGACAACATGCAGAATTACGGCCAGCAGATGAACGACCCAAACATGTCGCCCCACATGTTGCAAGATGGGAACCAGTTTCAGTTCCAAGCTCCTATTGGGCAGCAATGTATGAACGATCCCAACCCTTCTCCACACGGTCCCCACACCCCTCATACCCCTCACACACCTGGGGGTCATGCCTCAGCCCCCCACACACCGCATACACCTCATACTCCAATCAACAGAATGCCTGTTGTCCAGCAACAGGGCATGAATGACCCCAACATGTCACCCCACCCTACAATGTCCCCACATCACACCATGGCAAAGGACACGACACATTTCCAGTTTCCAGTTGTACGACAACAAATGAATGACCCTAATAAATCCCCCCACATGATCAATCAGATGAACATGAGGCAGGTGATGAACGATCCCAACAAGTCGCCTCATGTGATGGTCAAGCAAGCCGAAGCATTTACCTTTCCTCCTTTGTCCGTGTCACAGTCAATGAATGACCCCAACTCCTCGCCTCACCCTATGAACACACACATCGCTGCCTTCAACAAACAATTAATGGCTACAAACTTTGCCCACTGCAATGACCAGCGTGGGACAGAGCCAAGGTCACCGTTTGACCACCGCCCTGATTTGCCAGTGAATAGTTTGAATGTAACGGGAATCCAAACATCTATGACTGATGACAAGGGAATGGGCCCATTGAGTGTGGGCGTGCCTGTGACATTTACAGACACCGGTCAGCCCAGCCCTGCCTCCTCGGCCACCAGCATGACCACCCAGGGGCTGAGGTTCCAGTCGTCAGGTAACGCTGGGGACGCCATGCTCAGTGCCATCAACTACAATGACAGTGATCTGCTGCAAGACAGCCATTTTGATGTTGCCAACAATCTCAACAACATCAGTGACAATTTGCTGAGCAATATGAACAGTAGCAGTAACATGAGCCTCGGGGATGGAGGGCCTCCAACATTTGATCTATTTGAAGGAGACGGCCACGTCAGTGAGCCTTATAACCCACAGGAGCTTCAGCTGCCAGGGGACGCCTTTGGGGACAGCTCCTCTGGTTTCAGCATGTCTGACAGCATGGATGCTGATAATCCAGGTAGGTACACAGTGCATTCTGTGACATTTTATCTGTTGCTTGTTTTAGTCCCTGTGTGGGTACTAGTATGCAAGCTAATCAAAATTGGTGTGATGTTTGTAGTATTGACTCCATCACCTGTATGGTGGCTGTTCCATAGAATTAAAATGATAAAAGAGGATTTTGAAAAATCAAATACTGTTTTTCTTTTGATCTTTTTAGTTCATTCACCAGCCTTTTTTTTAACTCCAACATTGTTTCAATCGAAATTTTATGTTGGTTACTTTTTTTCTCCCAGAATTTAGAGATTTTTCAAAGTTATATGTTTAAGCTAAACATATTTGGCTAACAGAGAGTTCCTCTTATTTACAATTATGCTATAATAACTATTGCTGTGTTTTTAAAAATGTTATGATTTAATGTTGGTAGGCTAGTGTTATTATTAATTTACAATTTAAGCCTTTTGTAAATTTAAAAATCCAGCTGTTTGTGAGAATGCAAAAGATTTATTTTCCTTATTGAATAATTGTGATTTATAAATTAAGCCTTTTTGTCCCCCTCATTATTGCCAAAAAACTACAATTTAACCACAACCTGCTATCACATTAACAGTTCTTTGCCAGCTGTTAGAGTTGAATATTTTATAGTAATTCACTTGACATCTTGTACGTAGTTTTTGTAAGCTAATGGGTAAAAAAATAACATGTGGCTCGCTTAAGAAATATTTCAGCAATTTACTAAAAAAGAGAAAGAAAGAGAAAAAAAGAGAGAAAAGAGAGTTTTCACAACTCAGAAAATCATGGTGCTACTGAATAATATGTGGTGTTAAAAATATTTCTCATTAGTTAGCTTTCTGTACCATCCTCACACATATTGACATTAAAATTATAAGCTAATCAGTTACTAGTATTTGTGGTAGTTAAGTGAGCTTTTCCTGACATTCAAAATTGATATATCAATATCCATGTAAAATGGATATCCATTTTAAGCTGTATGTAGACATGCTGTAGAATTATATATTTTAAAATGTCACTGGCCTGTTAATTTCAGCTTGATTTCTTCTGCCTAACCTAATTCTGTTGTAGGCAATAAAATGGATATTTCAGCAAGTAAAGTGGAGGTGCCTCCTCCCCCATTTCCATTCCAAAAAAAAGGGGGGGGGGGTAAATGTCATTATTATTAATAAATGTGATGTGTCCATGGTTTTTATAGAAAAACAAGATCATACACTGCTCCTTGAAGTGCTTAATACTGTCACCATCTGTTGGCAAGTTTGTTTTTTTTTTCCTGATAAATGTAGATTATAAAAAAAGACTATCCAAATGTTACAAGTTAATTTGCAGCAAAAAAGTGAATAATTCCAAAATGCAGTTGCGGTCGTATTGAAATTACTGGGTTGCTGAATATATGCAATACAGATAACACATTTCTAGGAAAACCGATAAGCCTTTTGTCTTCAAACTTAAAAGAGTGATTGGTATTACTGAAATACAGGTCAAATTTAAAAAATCAGCTTGATCAAACCATTTTCTCCATAAATTACGTGCATATATGTCTCCCAAACCAAATGAATTATTGCAAAACTTATTATAGAAATCTGACCTAAAGTCATGTGGAGATCTCAGACTTGACTTTAGATTTGACCTTTGACCTATATCTCAAGGTCAAAGGGGCTTTTTTTTTGTGAAAAAATATCTGTTTGTTCCCATTTGCTTTGAAATTATGGTGAGAAGATACACTTTGGGTCTTCTTTCATCAACTTGAATTTGGGGCCAACAGTACATTTGCATGGGCAGAGCAGCCATTTGTTGCCAAAACTGATAACTTTTTTTGTAATTGTGGAACTTCTGAATCTGTTAAAGCTAGATACCTCTTGCTTATTGCAATTTGTAGAGCTTGTCAACTGCAACATTTAAAATGTTTTTTTTCCATATGGTGTAATTGTTGCAATGTTTCAAAAAGTTATGCTCAAAGATGAAAATCTTACAAAATGTGAAATCGTCCAAAACTAGCAGAGATATGCTCAAAGTGACGATTGAATTAGAATAAAAGTCATATATTGGCAATCTTATTGTGATATTGAATTTGACCTTTGTCCAACTTTCCACCATGACACTGTACTTTGCAAATTTTCCATCCCTTCAAATCTCCAAAACTGGCAAAGAAACACCCGTAGATAATTTTGAACTCGAAAAAGAATACATATATTGGCAATCTTATTGTGACCTAGAATTATACCTTTGAACGGAAAGGTAAAGCTATCTGGCTGTAACAGGTGTACAGAGAGATTTTATATAGCATAATAAATTAACTGATCTATAAATTTTTAAACTTAAATAAGATACAGATTTTGTTTCATTTATAAAGATGGAAATATTATTCAATATGTGGATTATTTGATATCAAAAAGTATATCCTTAAATCAGGCATTTTTTGTTTGGGGGGGGGGGGGATGGTGTATAATTATTTTTCATACAGTTGGTCTCATTTTATTATTGTAAATCAATAGAGATAAAAAATCAATGTCCAGGGCCTAAAATGAAATCCTGCCCCCAACCTGTGTGGTTGAGGATGGATAATGGGTAAATGAACAAAAGTATTGCTTTTATGTAACTTTGAGATGATATCATTTTCTTGATATGAATATTGTGGAAACAAACATTCATGATATCAGTTTATTAGTCCCTGTAATAAGATTTCTGATTCTCAGTAAAAATGGATTATGTGTGAGGTGAAATGTTGTTGCTTAAGATCAGCACAAGGTCTTTATTTATCAGATTTGATATTAAAACTGAGGCTTCTGTTTGTTTTCCTGGCATGTAAAAAAGGTGTTAAGGAATGGCAAAGAAGAAGAAGAAGAAAAAAAAACAGAATGCTTTTTCCATTTGTTTAAAAAATATAACAAGTAATGGTAAAAGCAGCATTCAGAACATGATTTTGAAATCCTTTTCCATTTTCCTTGCTTGCTCTTGCACTCTCGCATTTGATCCCTTCTCTAAACTAGAATCACACCTGTCTGTGTGGGGTTTGTGCAATTATGGTCTTTTTAGGAAATAATTACAAGGGTGAAAATCTGCTCTGACATGTAACACAGCATGGATAATTGAATATTATATGCCACATGTGAGAGAGAAAGGTGATTTAAAAACCACCCTTGTTTCTTATAAATATTTTTGGAAGTTAAACTGAAGAGTAACTATGTTGACTAAACATGAGGTGATCACTTGCTTTAGTGGAACCGGGTTCCATACCCATTTCACCATAAC